ATTAAAATTACCTAAAACTCAAATACCTGAAAATCAAGGGTTAAACAATTATGAATGTACATGGAGCATCATGCTTCACTAAGGAAGCAGGAAATCTGTCCTTTAGTGACCTATGGCTGGAGGCAAGAGGAAAACCTGAATTCACTAGGATGTCTCTGAAGCACACTGAGCACACCCATTCTCAGAGTGGAACACAAGACTTTAAGCAATGCCAGATTATACAGTTCAAGAAGATGGGCAGTTTCATGGTGAATAATACTGTCCATTGTCTGTGTCAGTCTTCCAAAGACCAGACACATCCATGTTCATGTGACACGTGTGTTTAACAAGTGCTGACTGCTCTGCAGGCAAGGAACACTTGACTGTTTGGGTTTACAGGCTACCCTAGCAATTGTGGGGTCTGGGCATGGGTTCCTCATCAGGCACATCACGATGGCCAAGCCATGGCAGAGGAGCCAGGGAATCATCTGGATTCACCCTATACGTTGTACCTGGCCTGCAGGGCTTTGAGTACCCCCTGTTGAAAGCAGCAGGCAGTTACCAGCAGATGCTGGTGTCAGCTGGCAGAGCACTGCTAGAATAACCAATGCTTTAAATAGTGTTCTGACTACTAAACTATACTACTACTATACTAAATAATATAAACATACCATAACAGTAACAGTCAAACTGATTAATCTGGCTGTTCATTGCTGCTGCTCTAATTTCACCTTTAGGTACCTAGATTTCTAAAAGGAAAGCAAAGTAAATTTAAGTTTACTTCTATTCAAGAAATTAAGTTTATTTTTCCCTTGCACCAATCACCCATTTCTAAAACAACGTTCTTCTAACACAGAATCTTAGTCTTTACATAATTTCTATACCAATGTGTTTGCTAATTGCTATAGCATGTTTTTAAATTATAGTTTTTATTATCACAGGAATCAGCATAAGCAATATTTTAAGTAGTATTCTCTTAAATTCCTTCCTCATAGGAAAACATATTAAGTATTTTTCCTCTCTGAAGAAAAACTGACTAGCTTAGGAGAGGAAATGAATTTAGTTTCACGCTTGGGAAAATCACATCAAAGTAGTGAGACTGATTTTTATTTTCATATTATATTTCACAATTATACTTCAGAATTATGAGTTAAATTTCCACAATTAAAATCTGTATTTACACATTACACATTTGGAAATATAAAGGTTTTTCTGAAGTAGTTTTTACTCTTTTCAGTCACAGGTTTCTCCAATTTCATAAAGGCAAAAGAAGAAAAAATATTATAGCATACACAGATGCAACCCTTTGTGACTGATTCTTTAAAAAACTGTAGTTTCCAACTGATGATCATGAAACCAAAATATTTTGGTGGCTTACTTTCTGCCAAAGCAGTTCTTACATAATAATTATGTAATCAGAATCAAAATAAGGTGGGGTAATTTTTTTGGGTTTGTTTTTTGTTGTTTTTTTTTTGGTTGGTTGGGTTTGGCTTTTTTGTTTTTTTAACTCCAGGAATTAGAAGAAACTGAAAGCAATTTTCATACCCTGCAGTTGAAACATCAAAAGAAAATATCCAGCACGTAGTATCAGGCTTCAGAGAGAGGTATTTGACACTTTGCATAGATCCAATATAATTATTGTGTTTCAATTTAGATGGAAGATAATCTGCGTACTACTCAAATGAAGGATGTTACAAAATTCACCTGTGCAAGAGAACAATGAATGGCTCATTTCCATTCATAGCTCTGCATGAAAGGCTTTTCTCTAGCTTAAAATTCACTGTCGATAGTACAATGCTATTTTTGTTTAATTTTCTCAATCTCATACTTAGTAAATCACTTAATTAGTCATATTCCAATCCAAGTATGAACTGCAAGCATTCATATAAAAAAGTGGAAAAAGAAATGCAATGCTTAGCTAGTCCACAGCCCTTCTTTCAAAAGTTCATTATTGTAAAATAAGACAAAAGCAAGGAAACAATCATCCGCCATAATACTTTTAAAAACAAAGTAAACATACAAAAATTTACTTTGCCTCCATCCTGCTTTCACATTTTTTCCCCCTGGGAATGGTAACAATAGAAAAACTATTTTTTCTTTAATAGGGGAAAAAGTTATTGTCTGTATGGCTTTAACAGAAGAAAGAACAATGACTTTTTTAAGTTCCTTAGAAGTGACTAAGAGGTCATGAACACAAAAATACTTCACCAAGAACATTAAAAACATAAACTACTATCAACTACAACTATTACTTGCAAATGCAATAGTAATTGAAATACACTGTTAAAATATACTATACATCACCATCAAATTCTCTAATACAAAAAGCATGAAATATAAATTTTAATCAGGAAATAGGAAAACAAATATCTCCCTTCTCCAATTTTCTTCATACATCGGAAATAGTTCCTTATATAGAAACATTTAAATACCTCTGCATGAGTTAGTTTCTTATGAATTAGCACTTACCTTTTTCTTCTTCATATTATCATTAGACACTTTAAGTAGCCTTCAGCCACCAACTGAGGTTTCCATCCAACACACAATCTGATAAAGCCTGTTCCCCAGTTCTAACTAAAGGAAACAGTGATACAAAGCAGTAACAACAAAATCCCATGTATTAAATTGATAATTGGGTTTGGTCAGCTGCTTTTTGGTTTGTTTTTTCTTTGGGGGATGAGATTTGGAGAGAATTAAATCAAAACTCCAGACACAAGGTTTTTACTCTAGTTATGCTGAAAACCTTGTGTCACCTCATGATCAGGAACTTGTGAGTTGATCTGCCCTTATTTATGTATCACAGTGAGGAAATGATTAGCATTCATGATGTCACTGCTTGAATTTTCAGTAGCAGTCTGGAATTAAAGCATACCCGAAACATTTTCCAGATTCATGGTAACTTACTGTGAATGTGTATTGCCACCTAGAGTGGCAAAGTTATAACTGTACGCATGAAAGTAGCTAAGCCAGCCCAGGCATATCAGTTATTATGAAATGCTCCTTTGAGCACAAGTTTTCTGCAGAAAACAGTGAGTCTGCGTAGTCTAACCCCTCTTACCACAGTTGTGGTCAGATGCTTTCACAAAAGATTACATGAATTTCCCCAAATGCATCTACTGTTCTGGTTAGAACACACTGGCAGATGCTGGGTAGAAATTATCTTTGGTGTCACGCAGTAACATATACATTTACATACTTTCTATCCTCTTCATGAAGGACCCTATATATTTCCCAAATACCTACATACAACCATGCTTTGTTAACATCCGTTAAATTCCTGCCAAACAGGAAAAAAAATCAACCAGTAACGGTCACATCAGTAGGAAACCTACTACATTTAGTTGATATCCATATTCAAATTACTGCAATGTTGCTGTGCTGAAGATGGAGCTAGTGCCGAAAATATTGTCATTGATCTGCTGGCTAACTATACATGCAGTCACAGACTGAGTTACTTCATCATCACCTACCTTTTATCCTCTGCTTTTCTTCCCTTTCCTTCTACCACACTCTATTTACCCAACACACATTCACTTGTGCAGCCTGTTTTTCAAAGTAGTTCTTCATTTTCCTGATCTGGACTGAGCTTTAATCTCCTTGAAACATAAAACTCCCACATTTGACTTAATATTATACCCGTACCCTTACTGTGCAACTTGCTGATGCAGCACCTGATCAGCCTGGGTGCTGTCTAGAACTTACAAGTTCTTAAGCTTGTGACACTGTTTTTTCCTTTTAGAGAGAAATATTTTAGAGAACACCAAACACCCAGTTAACTACAGAAAATATGAATTATTTCTTTCTTCTGAAATTTAAAACCGTATCAAATTAAAACTGTCAGTCAGTATGCAGCTACCAAATTGTCTCAAGATGTGTGATGGCATTTCTTTATCTCACAAGAACATTTTCTTCCCACAGGATATTAATGCATATGCAAATTAAAACATCCTAAGCTTACATACAGTTTATATGCAGCTTTTGAAAGGTCTCTAAAAAAAAGGAGTCAGAAGTCAAGATGAGCAATTTGGTAGTTCAGTGTCACATGGCATCTGGAGACACCAGACACTAAGAAATGCAACTTTTTATCATACCTTTTCTAAGCTCTAATGCAGAATTTATGTAATCTATCATCTCTCCCCTTTACCGGCCCAATGTTTTCTATAACCTAGACTCTCAAGAGTAATTTCAAGTAGTTTTCCAAGGCTTTTAAATTTACCTCTATTTGCAAAGAGATGAATGGAAAAAACGAATCAGCTCAGGAAATGCTCTAAAAGTAGCTATAACATTCCAGCCTGTAACAGAGTCCACAACTGGAACAAACTAAGAGGAAAGTGCTTGCCTACAGCACAATTGCAAATGAAGTAAAGATATGGCTTATAGCACACTGGAAGCTTAGTATGTTGTAAAGGATTTACTTATCTTGTTATTGGGTAGATCAAACACGTTTCAAAGACAGTAATAAAACATCTTGTGTCCCATGAATAAAGTGGAATGACAGATTTTAATAGTAAAATGCAGGCTATTGCGAGGACGTATCTACTGCGAGTGAAGCAGATTTTAAATGAGCAGAGTATGTTGCATAGAGACTAGCTAATAATGCAAAATACTGGGTCCTGAGAACACTGGATGGTGTGAAATATTATAAAACTCACAAATATAGGAACACGTGGATTATCTAGTTAAAACTTTGAAGTATCTCCTAAGACAAGTCACTGTATTTGGACTTAAACAAAATGTTAAAACTGTCTGAGAAAAATACTTATTGTCCAAATTATCCAGCTAATCTGGTAGAAGGCATCCAGAAAGGCACTGTGAACTGCTAAAGTCACTAAACCACCTCCTTTCTTCAGAGATGCTCAGAGATTTTAACAAGCTAATGCAGCACAAGTACCAGAAAAAGCTTCTAAGTGTTTACCAAGAAAGCTGACAAGCTCACTATTTTAAGCAAAAAGACCTAATAAATCAACAGACACAGAAGCAGGAATCTTACGAAATAAAGTCAAGAACTTCACATAGTTATAGGGCCAAAGTTTTCACACACACACAGGCCAAACTTTATTGTCCTTTAGCAAACACATTATTAGAAAAAAATAAAAATCATAAGTTGCCTTTTTCCATAATGATTACAGGAAAAATACAATGCTTTCTATCCTTAAAGACAAATCATATTCGCAAAATGTAAGTCTTCCCATACAACTTCAGTCTATTATTAAAGACATCTAATTGTATTTCAGTTTGTAAATAAATTGCAAATCACAAACATTAAGTTCATGTTTCACAGCAAAAAAACACTATTTGAACAAACTTCTGCAAAAACTTTCTGCAAAATTCACAGTCTCTGCAAAAACTACACCTCATTCAGTAAAGTTTGAAAGAGTGTGTGTGGTCATTTTATATTGCACTAACTTTTCTTGACACATCTGCCCCAATCTGTCATTCAGATGTTATCAACGGGTTCAGAGCAACATCACAAAGACTAAGAATAGCAGTTACTTTAGAATGAACCAAAAACATAAAAAACTCGATGCCCACTGCTGTGTGTAATGTGAAAAAGGGAAGGTGAAAAAACTTTTTCACAATGAGAATGTGAAACCTTCCAGAACAGCACCAGCTTTCAGCAGAATGTAGCCCCCCACTTCCCTTCCTCTTCTCTGCCACACTTGGTTTTTGGTTTGCATAAAAAAGGGAATGTTTTGTCCAATTCAGATGGACTCTTATTTTTTGGTTTAGCTATTATACAGAAAAAAAACATACAGTTTGTGTGCTTTATGATAAACTCACATGTTCAATATTTCACTTTCAGGTACCACACATTTTTTTTGCCCAGGACAGACAAAATGATTTTGTATTTCCTTTCAACATGTAACATATCCCCATTTGTTTTAACTGCATCCCTATATTCTAGTTTTCTGTACTCTTCTTTTCAAGTATTCTTGTTAGACACTGTAGGCTCCTCCTTACTGCACACCTTCAGACAGCTTTACTGTTAAGTACCCAATACTGTTTATTCCATACACTAAGGCAACTCAGATTTGCTTTTAAAGACTGCCACAACAGTTTCTCCAAGATGGCATAAGCATGCTTATTATTTACTCAAGGAACACAACCTGAACCTCAATGGAAACAAGTTTCCTGGGAACAGATGCACAGCTATGAAACAACTGATCAGGTTTCCATTTCGGTCTCTGTGGTATCAGTCCTTTCACCAGTTTTAGCGCCCGATGGAGTCTCTTCATCTAGGTTCTGAATATCAGACAAATCAATAGCAGGCAGTGGTGCTCTCCAGTACAGGAATGAATTATATTGACAGAATTCTTCTTCTTGCTTTGAAAAGAGACAAATAAAAAGTTAATAAAACATTAGCGTGTATACCAGCAGCAGCAAATTATAAAATGAACTTTTTAATACAAGAAACTGAAACTAGGAAGAGTTGCTCAGCTATTACATATTAACAATTAATTTTATGATTCTTAACTAGATGATGATTTCTGCCTTTTTAAATACTCTTGCAAAGAATTATGTAACAGCATCCATAATTCCAGAAATTTCTTCAACTTATGACTTTTGCATTGAAAAAATCCACACTGTGACTAAGTCACTGTGACTTTGATGAGCCTTTACAGCGTGGCTCTTGAAAATATTAATGACCTGTCTGTTGGTTTTGCAACAGAATAAAAAAAACAGTAGTGAGTATCATCTCTACATCTTCTCAAGTAGTGAAAAAAATATGTTTTCCTTACTTCCCAAAAAAGTACATAAAATCACCATACCTCTCACTTAAAGAATACATTTTTCTATTTGTAACCACCCAGACCTCTCCTGAACTACAAACCGTTGTACTAAGCAACACCTTTCTGCTGCAAAACCCCTGCATGATTTAAAACCTGTAATAATTAAGACAGGATGAAAGGTGCAGACATTTCATAGCAGTAAGATAGCTCCTTGCCTGTAGAATACTATTAATGTGAATTTCCTCATTGGGAAAGTCTGTCTCCAGAAAATTTTGAAGAACAAAAGCTCCCATTACTTGAGACCAAAACCAATTAAATGACACCATGACACGGGAACAAAAGGCTTGATTATACAAAAACTGGAAGAAAGCCAAACCAAAAATAGTTGCCCGTTCCTGTAAATTAGAAGTTTTGCATTAACATTTTGCACAGCATTAACAATAATTGACAAGAGTGGAAGGAATGATTTTCCAGTCTGTATTTCAACCTCGGCAGCATCACTCACACAGAACTGTGCAAGGCAGGTGGCTAACAAATTCTCAGAAAAAAATATCAGGCACTGCAGTTTCAGAAACTGTCAACAACTTTCAAAAACCCTCGCTTGCATAATTTGAATTCCCCTGACATTTCAGTAAGATTTTGCTCGCACTGAGAGCTAAATACTTAAAATCAGAAACCTGATGCTTTGTATGCATGAAGTGAATAACAGCACCCTTGTTTCAAAATTATTGGAGTCTAAGAGTTCATAAACACATACTCAATTTTGGACTAAGACTACATTCATAATTAATCTCAAGAGCTTTTATGTTTACAGATAAGCAATATTTCAGCATGAAAATGAAAAAAAACATCAAATACAAGAGACAGGCACAAACGCTAATCATTCATATGCAGAAGGCAAAATAAAACACCAAATAATCACCTTCAACTAAGTAAGTCTCCACACAGGTTTTGAGCAGAAATTCTGTCAAGGTAGGCAACATGTAGCAAGCTCAGAGACACAAAAGCTCAGTTTCTACAGACTAAGTTGCATAATATTTAAGGAGTTAGTTTTCCAACTCTAGTTGCAGAAGTGTACTTGGAAAAAAAAATTAAAATAATCTTTCTTCTCTAGCCAACTGTAATATAACACTTTAAGCGTTAACACTGTGAAATTAACGGTATCCTTATCATACTTATCTATGTAACGAAATACAGAAGCCATAAATAGCAAAGAACAGTATCAATCTAGGGATTGTATTTTGTATTTAAAATATACAGGTAGGACACGCAAAAACTGGAAAAAATATCTCTAGCCTGAGGTGTTAACCAAGCTTTATTTTAAAACTAAAACATTTTTATACAATACTGTACTGAGAGAAACAACCTGTTAAAAATACACTCCTAGAAAAGTATTTTATACAGAGAACTAATCTTTACTGTGTGGAAATTCACAGGGCTTGTGGTCTCCCAATCACTGCTAAAGTTTACCAATTTATGCCCAGTAACGCCAAGGGCAAGTAAAAGTTCACTAGTGTATCTGTGATGGGAGTCAAACTGTTCTGTAGAGGTTTGTCCAATTTGTTTAACTACTATGCTTATGAATACACGTGTTCTCTCTTCAAAAATTTTAAGAGATGCTTGCATTTAAAATGTATGTATAATATTCATAGGACGTAGAATTTTTCCTGAATTTCCTCCTGCCTTAATTTTATCATCCATCATCAATAAAACTCACTAACAAATCAATCAACAAAGAAAATAAAAAATGCCCAAAAAGGAAAAGGCTGCTTTCTTTTTACAAATCCTAAGTGGGTGTTGTACTACGAAAGGCATCAAATTCTCCAAATTAGTCTACAACTGCAATTCAAAGGCCATGTAACCTGATCAGACTTTCTGTCACTTCTGTACCACTGTATCTAATAGTTTGGTCTTACAAGGTCCAGGTGGGAGTAAAAGTCACTTTAACACGCACCAAACTTCTATGTTCGAAAGATGTGAAATTTGATCACAATATTTTTTGTTGTTACATGGTTTTTTTTCCTGTTTTAATTAAGATTTTCTTTTTATGTATCCTTTTTTTTTTTTTCTGAGCTATTGTGTAAAATGCAGTCAAGGCTAGGAAGAAAAACGTACATTGTTCAAAGTTAACTAGAAAAGTCTTTTCCATATAGTCTAATAATTACAACACTGAGGCCACTGCCTCCACTAAATCTTTTAGTTAAAAGACAGCTCTGGCATTACTATTAAATGTCAAACCGTGAAGTTTAGGAAGCTGACGCTGTAGTGAGCCTAACCCTCACACAACAGAGGCGACACCAGAATAACCTCTGCATGCTTCCATCGCACTGCTGGATGGGATGAAGCTGAGCATAACCTCAGGTAACGTGGATAGCCTGTTTCACATCCACTTCATGGCCCGGAGCGGGGGAGGGACTGGTAGAGCTGGATGATACTTCTTTTGCCTCGAGGACGACAAAAATAAAAGGAGCTTTAAGAGGCCATTGGCCAGGAGGCACGGAAGGGGCTGGGCGGCACAGAGCGCTGCGCCATGCCCGGCGAAGGCCCGCCAGCACCCCCGGCGGACACGCGCGTCCGACAGACACGCTTCGGCCGCTACCGGCGCCGCCCCTCCCTTCCTCCCCGCGGACCAGCGCCCCGGTCCCG